TCATTTCACTTTTGACCCCGAGAAGCATAATATATTCCCGACAGATTGATACCTCTCGCGCTCAAAAGTTCGGACAATTTATCGCCGATGTTGAGAGCGAAAATTTAAATTTTTGAGCGCGAGTATGTAGTCGACTTTTCGGCCCTACGTCCCAATCAAAAATCTGTTCTCCCGAACTCCCGAAACATTGGCAACAACATTCGGACTTCTTGGAACGTCCATGCATCTTCCTCATCCCTCGCAATTAGCTCGGCCCTTCTTCTCCGGCTCTCTCCCAAAAATAGTCGCCACCCTCGAGTGGGCCAAATCCTCCGGATTACACAACGCTTTCGCTCTCTTTTACGCCCTCCCCTTTCTTTTCGCCTCACTTTTCCCGTTCGGCCTTTGTTCCGCCGCGAGGGACGGCCGGATTTTATGGGCCGCTTTTGGCTTTTTTCGCGGCCATTGGCCACTCTTTTGCCCCTCTAACCACAAGCTCTTGTGCGGCAATTTGAGCACAAGAAAGTGAGCCGGGAATGTTAGCGGGGTTGCGTGATATTTGATATGGAAATGAGTGGGAAATTGATGTGTTATCGGCGGATGAGGGGTCAATATTGAGCAGGGCATGGACAGCTGTCAAAACCGGCATTCATAGGTTATGAGGGAGCAGTTTTCTATTCGTGCGCAAATAGGATGCAGTTTAGTGGCAGAAATTATTTTTTCGACAGACTGATAAAAGGAGAAGGTCCACAAAATCGGAGTAGAGAAGAGTTTAACGTGCCTTGAGGCTACTAGCAACAGTATTTGGCAAAAGACAGCAGAAGTACCCTAAAAAGTACAGAACTCGTCGAGTAATGGAGCAATAACATCTTTCAGGGGGATATAAACCCGCTAAATGACCTAATATCAGTCTGTCGGGAAAATAATGAGCATAATGTCGACGCGTAGATCACGTCACTGAAGTGAAAAGAAGTTTGCCGCGACACAATTCATTTTCTCGGCGGCGATGCGATTTTTGATGCGACTGAATGATCATTATTTTCCCGACAGACTGGTAGCTTGCAGCTTGCTCAAACAACCAGGAAACGATCAAAAAAATTCTTGTAAAGGCTGTACAAAGATGGATAAAAAGTAGGTTAGTCATTTCTTCCAGACGGGCTTGCTAAAAATATTCCTCGAAATAAAACTTCTTTTCGAAAATGAATCACGTTACAGACGGTTGAATTATCATTCTGTCGGGAAAGTATTGATCAAACAATGCCGTGCGGCACTTTTCCAGACAAAATGACCGTCAATGCCTAGAATTTTTTAAAAAATCCATTTTTGTAAAACACGGTTATTCCTATTTGTCATTTTGAAAATATTGAGCACTCTGTCGCATCGAAAATCGCATAATCGCCGAGAAAATGAACTGTGTCGCGGAGAAAATAAAGTTTCTTTTCACTTCAGCGATGCAGCAAAATTGTGCTCATTATTTTCCCGACAGACTGATAGTACTGCATAAAAAAACCAATTTCATGCCTCAGGAATCAAGTATAATATGTATAAAAAAGCAAAGCTCAATTTTTTGGCTTCCAGAGAAGCACACGTAAAAATTTTGGTCGATTTCTCAAATTTTCGCTTTAAAAATCACCAAAGAAAAAAACTCAATAGAATAAATAAATTTCCAAACACAATAAGCAGCCATAGTTACCAACATAAACAACAAAAAAATTTTCGAAATTTTTTGCCCAAGAAATTGACTTTTAGCGCCAAAAATTTTCGTTCAGCAAAAGGCCATAAATTAGACGAAGGGAGGTTGCAAAGTTGCTGACAAAGGACAAAAAGTGGCCCAAGAACACCGGTTTCTCTTGGAGGAGATTTATTTTCTCTTGAGGTTGTTTATGAGGCGTTTCGGAGGGGGAGAAAATGGACAAAGGGGATCTTCTTTATCAAAAAAAAGTTTGCTAATTTGAAATTTTTTTTCGATTAGTTTCGCACGCACTTTTTGCGGAAAAATTTGCAAAAATCTGCCACATTTTTACCAACTTTCAAAGAGTCACAACCTAACGATTAGTCCACTGTGTCAGCAATAGCGTTTTTAGCCGATTTTGCAATTTTCTCTTGGTCTTTTTACGAAAAAATTTATTTATATGTCCTTGTAAATTGAATTATCGTCCAGTAATTATAATCGGTCAGGCTACTGGCATGACACACTTGTAATTGTACGATAGTGGCATCCCCACTCTCATCACCTTCAAAGTTGTGATCGTTTCAAAAAAAGCAAAAAAAACTCCCAAAAATTCCGCAAATATGGATTTTGTCTGTGAAGGAACAAAAATTGTTTAAAAATGTCAACATACCATGGTTTTGTGGTACATAAGAGACAAAATGCAAAAAATTTACGGAGCCCGGATTCGAAACCACGACTTGTTGCGCCGAAAGTAGGCTCACTACCACTCGGCCAACTGGACACAACTCCGTTGCAATTCGAAGGGCTTATAAAGTGAGGCGGAAATCAGGCTAAAATCTGTATTTTGGCCATAACTTTGCCCAAACATATATTGGGCAGCTAATTTTTTTTTGTGCTGTGTACTATTTTTAACGCTCTTTCAAATGATGTAAGGTTTGTTAAGAAAGCAGGGTGCAACTATTTGCCGATCCCTTGTCAGTGAGAAAAATATAGTACTTTTTGGTCATATTTTTGTCAGTTTCGTGCGGAAAAAACTGACTTTTTGTCGAAATTTTAAACTCTGCGATAGAAACAAATATGAAACTTTTCATGCCAAAATTCGAAAAAAATTTTTCATTTCTACCCAATTTCGATCTAAAAATCTCGGTCGTTTCTGGAAAGCGCGAGCTAGCAGTCTTGCATATGTCCCAGAAAAAACTACTCTGAATTTGTGCCAAGTTTCATCAAAATCTGAGCGTCGCACTTGGAATACTTTCCCTATAAATTTAGGCCAACTTTCATCCTATTGCGTCTGCCCCAGAAATTGTAATTGTTAGAGATGCAGTGGCACCTCCGTGCAACAAATTCTTGTTCAACAAAACCTGCCTATAACAAACAATTTTAGAAATGCCAAAAGTCAACATTTTATCAAAATTTGAGTTGAAATTTTGTTTAAAAATTGCAAAAAAAAAGTTTTTTTTGTTGAAAAACAGTATTAAATTAGTAAAGCAAGGCGTTCTGAACTCGTATTTTCCAAAGAAACTTTTATTTTTAAATTATTTTTTTTTGATTAGAAACCTTAAAAAATCCCAAAAATCGTAAGAACAAGAATTTATCCCAAGCCCCCCAAAACGGATATAAAAGTGGGGAGAGATCCCAAAAGAGAAATTTGGATTCTCGACCATCATCAGCTTTTGGGTTTAAGAAATTTTCTCGTCGTCTTATCGCCGCAACAAATCTCTCCGGCGAATTGCGGGAAGAGAGAAATTCTCGGGCTGGTAATTAATGAATATTTTATGTTTGAAAGGGAAATATAAAGCTTATTTTTTGGATATAAATTTTAAAAATAAAAAAGATAAAGAAAAAATACAAAAATTTGCAAATTCCCCGCCAGAAAAAATTGGAAAAATTTTAAAAAGCTCAAAAAATCTTCTGAATTTTTGCAGAAAAAATCAAAAAACTCTAAAGAATAAATTATTTTTAGCTTTTTTCTGCAGGAAAAATAAAAAAAACTCCCTAAAATTCTGAAAATTTTTAAAAAATGATAAATTTTTATTTCTATGCAAATTTTGGACTTTTCAGCTAAAACATAAATCATAAAAAATAATAAATAAGTTAGTAAAAAAATTCTCTCCGAAACTTCGAAAAAACCCCCAAAAAATAATAATTTTAAGCCTTTTTCAATATTAAAAAACCCACAAAAAATCTAAAAAATTCAATGTTAATTTTTACGCAGATTTTCTACTTCTTCAAGAAAAGCAAAAACATAAAAAAAATAAATGAAAAAGTAATTAAGACCCCCAAACACAATAATAATCTTCAAGCCTAAAAAATCCATCTTTCCCTTCCAGAAATTCAAATATCTCATCTCCGAATGTTTCCGCACCCCCACTTTTGCACCCTCATCTTGCATCCTCGCAGCTGTTCCGAAACGCGGCCAAAACATTTCAAGAAACGAGGGAGAAGAATGGGCGCAGTCCGAATGCAAAAGGCGCCCTTTCCCGCGGGGGCAAAAGTGCGAAATGAATTGTTGGGCAATCTGGCGAAAGCGCCGACATTATGCATAAGGTTGCTCATGGGAGGCTGGATTTGCATATATGTTTGCGACGCTCATATTTTCTTTATACTACGTTAGGATTCTCATAAAATGCATGAAATTTTTTTGCACCGAACATTGCATGTTGCGCAAAAATCGCACGGTGCAAAACTATCATAACGTTTTGTCTCGGGTAGTATGATATGTTTGACACATGCCAGGCATAGGCCACATATCAATTCCTAAAAATTTCAGCTCGCGCTTTGCATCGGCTGCCGAGATATTCATGCGGCGCCGAAAGAGTACGCGAAATGCGGAGAGCGGCCAACTTCGAGCTAAAACTCGACCGCACCATGAGAAAACATGTCAAGGCTTTTCCGTCTGCCTAGTGTCAGTCTGTCGGGAAAATAATGCTCACTTTGTCGCATCTAGAAACCAGTCTCAGCATATACAATGAGGGACCTGATCCAATGGCAAGAAACGTCTCCTTTTGCATCCCGGAAAGGACCAAAATGACTCCAAACCCTTCCCTTCTCTAAGCTAAAAAACTCCGCTTTGAAAAGCGCGCCCTTTCCTTCAAGGCGGGCTCTTCAAACCGGGGTTTTTCAGCTTAGAAAAGGGAAGGGTTTGGAGACATTTTGGTCCCTTCCGGGATGCAAAATGATACGTTTTTTGCCATTGGATCCGGTCCCTTACTGTAGTCGAATTGATGCAATTTCTTTAATTTATCACAAGAAAAAAACGAATTAAAGCTCTTCAAAGTGATGGCAAACAAGCGCAATACATATCCTAATCACAGTAAAAATAAATACAAAGCATTCGAAAAAATCAAAGTCAACATTTGGCCGTTTTCTTCGTCACTTCTGTCACACCATTCACACACTTTGTTTCAATGTCTTCGCAGTAGAATTGCGGCGATCTTGAGGCCACTCGCCGCGTCCGAAAACTCAATCGATTGGTCCTGTTCGACTTTTGATCGCAATACTGTCCCGCCCAGCCCTCATGGCAAACACAATTGTACTCGATGTCGATGCCGTTGATTTTCTTTCCACCACAGGAATCAGCGGGGATGCAAGCGTGAATCTTCTCGGCGAGGACTGAAAAATAAGTTTTATATGTTATTTGCAGTAACGACCGAGATTTTTAGATTGAATGTTGGGAAAAATTTGACAATTTTTGCGAAGTTTAACATAAAAAATTTCATGCCGATTTGAACCGTAGAGGGAAATGTTTTCACAAAAAATCAATTTTTTCCGCAGTAAACAGGCAAAGGTATGGCCAAATCGTTTTGTCGGGAAAATAGTGTGGATTCGCCGCAGCAAAATGCCTCGTCCTGTCGCAGTCGCGCACCAAATCTACAGCCTCGGCGAACCGTCAGAAGGCGATAATGGGGAATTTCAAGGCGCGACAAAGCCACATTATTTTCCCGACAGACTGATACTATTTATTGTAGTATAACAGGTAAGCTAAGGCCCAGTCTAAAAACTTCGCATACTTTTCAGAAAATTCCACTTGCAATTTGCGCCGAACTTATTATAATATAATTTTTAATCACCGGAATAGTTCGTTGCAAATTCAAAAAACCTCCGTACTTACCCATGTTCGAAGTCATCACAAAGACTACAACCATCACGACCACTAGCAAATTTGAAGACATCATAACTCTCGACTTTCAGCAGACCAAAACCAACTTCTCCGCCCTTAAAATCGCCAGCAAACGGCCTGTATTTATACCGAGTCGTTATCAGCAAGGGTTTTGTAAGCCTCCAAGATCAAAAAGCAAAATAGATTTTCGAGTTTTTGACTCATTTGTTTGGCTTTTTGTGTTTATTTATGTGAGGAAATAATAGGGGAGCGTTACCGGAAACCTTTGTCAACATTATCAACGTTCTGACGTTTGGTAACATGTTTCTATGCAGTTCTAATTTATGCTGCGTGGTTGTCTTGATGAGGGAGAGGGAGAGCGAGAAGGTTGTCGGAAACTACAGAAAAATCATTGCTAAATATGACAATACACTTATGGATTATGGTCAATGAATTGCTCGGCCGCAGTCGAAAAATGACAGCCTTTATTTCTCCCTGACCGCTCTCCACGTCCCTGGCTTCAAAGATCGCGGCGAATTTTGGCTACGCCTGCAAAACGCGAACTAAATAACACTAAAATTTTCCCAGGTTGATTTCCGAGGCCATTGCTCTAACCAGGGTGTACAAACTGAACCTCACTAAATAGTAAGTGTTACATACCGTCTGAAAGCCCTTGAAAAGTGGTGTCCGAAACTACCTTCAGTTTTTGCAGAATGCCTCAGGGCAAAAAATTATGGCGGTTGATTTGTAACTTTAGGAGTTACTCTGACACGGGGCAAAAGAAATGTCATTTCAAACCGCTGAATGCTACGCATTGCTACTCATTTGGTTAGGGTAAGTTTGCAAATTTCCCTATGGTACTTTCATCATATAGAATGAGTCTTCAGGAAAATAATGAGCACTCTGCCGCATCGAAAATCGCACCGCCGCCGAAAAAATGAATTGTGTCGCGACGAAATCAAATCGTTTTTCACAACGGTTGCAGCGACATTGTGCTCTATTTCCTCAGCAGATGAATAAACAGCCTGTCGGAAAAATAATGCGGATTCGTCGAAGCAAAATGTCTCGCCTCGTCGTAGTTGCGCATTAGATATTACGTTGCATTTTCGAATTCCCGCTCTTTGGCTCTTCCTTGAGAGCGCCGGCACATTGTCTCCATAGCGCAGTGGGGTAAAATTCCTTGCAAAGAGAGAGGAAGAGAAAGCTTTTGAGAGGGCAAATGACGACTAACAAAAAGCCGAGTTCTATGCCGTTGGAGACGATGGTAAATGCGAATACCGGTGAAGCGATAAACATACCGATGCCCTTTTTGTGCGTCAAAATTGTTGTTCTTGAAATGTTGACGTTTTTGTGGAAATTTTTATACATCAAAATGATTTCTCATTGATGTGCTTCACGTGAAAAATCCATTTCACAACCATTGCCTCACAAAAGTTTTAATGATTTTATCAATTGAGAAATTTGCAATAATTGATGACGAGAGCCGTAGTCTTAGCCTTTGCACTCAATTGTCTAATGAAACTTGAAAGATAAGCCCTAAATCGGGTGTGGAATGCAAAGAACGTTCAGATCAGGAGATTCTGAAAAATTATAAAAATTTTAAAGTAGGTAGCAAATTTCTGGACAACAAAAACTTGAAGAACGAAGCTTGCCTAGTGAGCGCGCGAAACGCGGAGAGCGGTCAGAGAGGAAAGCTCCTTTTGATCATAAACTTGCCAATTCCTGGCGTAAAAACATTTTTTTTTGTTGAAAAATTTCACTCTACAGTGGTGGACCTGATCCAGGGACAAAAAACATACCATTTTGCATCCGGGAAGTATCAAAAATGTGGCGAAATGCTTCCCTCTCCAAGTGAAAAAACGTTTATTTCAACGGCGTCACCGCTCTCTTTGTGAGGAAAAAAGGCGCGCCCTTCAAAAACGGAGTTTTTTCGTTGGAGAGGGAGGCATTTTGCCACATTTTTGATGCTTCCCGGATGCAAAATGGGACGTTTTTTGCCACTGGATCAGGTCTGCCTCTGTCATATTCAGAGGCTCCGAGCCGGGAGCCAGAGCCGGAAATTTTGAGTGCGGCTCCGGCTCCCAAGCCCAACGTCCATGCCAGCATTCAGAAGAGTAAAAATTTCATGATCTTGTTAAACCAAATTGCTTGAAAAATACTGGGAAGGATGTGTTGCATACGACGTGGCTGCAAAAACGTGCCGGGATTCGGAGCCGGAGACCATTATAAATTTTTCATGGGAGCCGGGAGCCGGAGCCGGGAGCCGGAGCCGGGAGCCGGAGCCGGAGCCGGGGGCCGGAGCCGGAGCCGGAGCCGGGAGCCGGAGCCGGAGCCGGAGCCGGAGCCGGAGCCGGAGCCGGGAGCCGGAGCCGGGAGCCGGAGCCGGAGCCGGGAGCCGGAGCCGGAGCCGGGAGCCGGGAGCCGGAGCCGGAGCTGCAAATTTGGCCTCGGCTCCGAGCCGGGAGCCAGAGCCGGAGCCGGAGCCAAAATTTTGACCGTGGCAATCTCTGGTTATATTTATAGCAACAAATTCAGCGGCCTTCAAGCATTTTTAGGATCCAATTCGTCTCTATTCATCTTGTCCCTTCCGTAGCCAGCTTGGTAGTTTACGTTTAGGCAAGAAATCTCGGTCATGTAGACAAAGCGCAGGCTAGGACTCTCAAAGATTTTCTAGAAACCTCTGCTCCTTTTTGCCAAATTTCATCAACATTTGATCGTTGAAACTATATATAACACAATATTCTTGTGAAACACTGCGAACTATCCCAGTTTTCAGTCTGTACCCGCATGAACTTTGATGCCCGCCGGCGCGCATCTTTTCCACAACAATCACCCGACGTTTCCATCAAAAGATTGTACTTTACGAACCGTTCCATCAACCCATCTCCTTTCCCCAAATGTTTCATCTTTCCTTTACAACCGTTTTTTTTCAACGCTCTCGGCTTGCTTTTTCAGACAATACGCTCGTTTTTGCGAGGCGCTACGACACCTCTACCGCGTCTTAGAATGTAATGTAACTTGGCTTAGAATACGGCTTGTCAATAAGCATGTAATTCGGGGTCGAGAACGTTCGGTTTTTAATTTGTCGCCCACTTAAAAGCACCTGAAATAAGACATTCCAAAAAAGGAATGTCTTTCTTTGGGTAATCATGTTAGACTTGTCACAGGGCTCTATGAAGTTTGATGTTTGAATGGTCAAATTTGTAGGGGTCTCGAAATGATGTGGGTGCTATTTTGAGTCAATTGAATTGAAAATAAAATGGTGTAATGTATTTTTTTTATTTTCTTATTTTTAGAAAAAAATATGGCGAATGTTTGGCCTCAATTTTTATGAGTTGTGAATTATTTTTTATGAAGCGTTGTATTCCAAAATTCGCAAAAAGGTGTTGTCTGCCGACTTTCGATATCACACGTCAAAGAAAAAGTGAAAAAACAAGGAACCTCGGATCATTGATTTTTGACGAAATGTCGCTGAATTATTGAGTCACAAAAGAAAACTTTCCCAGAGAATTTCGAGAAAAACGTTTTTTTCGAAGAGGAAAATATAATTTTTCAAGCTCGATAATTCTGTGGCACTTCGCAAAAAAAATCAATGATCCGAGGTTCCTTGTCTTTTCAATTTTCTGAAAGAATTGTTTTGACGTGTATCAGTCTGTCAGGAAAATAGTGGCGGCTCGTCGCGCCTTGGGATCACCCATCACTACTAGAGGTGGCAATCGGGCCGGGCCGGGCCGATTTTTGCGGCCCGGCCCGCGGGCCGAAGTGACCAGGCCGGCCCAGGGCTTTTTCAAATTTGCTCAGGCCCGGCCCGGCCCGGCCCGATGAAAGCCCAGGCCGGCCCGGCCCGGCCCGGTTTGGCCCGCTAATACAGAAAAGTTGGATAAAAGTCTTTGCACTTTCTACTGGAAGTTCTTATGCTTTCCAGAAGGTTTTTACGTGTGTCTGCGCGAAACTAAATAGTCTAGTCGGATGACTGGAACATCCGTGCAGGTAGCTAAAACTTACAATTAGCCAAAAAGTTGGATTGTGTTAAATTTTTTAATCCTATAGGAAGTTAGCTATATAAAAGTATGGACGTTATAAGGTACATGGTTAACCAAAAGCTGTTTAAACACTTTCATTTACATCAAGGAATCAAAATTACAGGAAGTTTTTAAGTTTATCATAAAAAATTCGAAGATTTTTGCCCGACCCTTGCATATTTGGGTGGGATTTTACATTTACATAATAAGTTACATATACATATAAATACATAATTTTAAAAGGTAGTAAAACAGCGTATAAGTCAAAAAAGGTTAGATCTAATTTCCATCCATTCTATACAAAGCATTTGTGCTTTATTTTGCTGGTTTAGCATTAAAAATTTTTTACTCATCTACCTTCCGGGCCGGGCCGGGCCGAAAGTGTCGGCCCGGCCCGCGGGCCGAAGCGGTCAGGCCGGCCCAGGGCTTTTTCAAATCTGCTCAGGCCCGGCCCAATCACCGGGCCGGGCCGGGCCGGGCCGGGCCGGGCCGGCCCAGCCCGATTGCCACCTCTAATCACTACTAATGGCTGCAAACCGGGCCAGCCCGGCCCGGCCCGGGCCGCAGGCTCGGGCTTAAATCTCCAAGCCCGGCCCGGGCCCGGGCTTGAAAAATTTGGAAACCCCGGCCCGGTTCGGCCCGGAAATTTTTTATACTAGGCTGGAAAGAAAGAAAGCGGACATGAAAGGAAAATTATGACAAATTTTTGCAAAATGTAAAGAAAAATTTAGCAAAACCTAGGTACATAAGATCATTTTACGTTTGCTATCAGCATTGTGTTTGAAAAAATGAAAAATTATATCGAAGAAGCTTGTTTTTTCCTTTTTTTCCGGGCAAAACTCAGAGTTCAAAAAAACCGGGCCGGCCCGGGCCGGGCCGGGCCTAAAAATCAAAGCCCGGAGGCGGGCCGAGAAAACAGTCGGCCCGGCCCGGGCCGGAAAATTTTGCAAAGCCCGGCCCGGAGCCATGCCTAATCACTACGTTGCGACGGCTAACCGCAGCGGGAGATTTGATGTGCGATTGCAACCTTTTTTTCGACGGAGCGAAACATCTGGCTGCCACCACCCCACACGTCGGGTATAGGTCACATTACAGGCATAGCCGAGATATTGAACAATCTTTACCGCCAAGAGGGAATGCAAACCGCGAAGAGCTCTTTATCAGCTTCGTGCGAAAAAAAACCGATTTTTTGTGTAAACATTATCCTCTACGGTAGGAATAGGTATGCAACTTTTACTGCCAAAAAAAGCACTTCCCCTTCAAAACAAAAAATTTTTACAGTCAAACCTTTGCTACTGTATTCTCGACCGTTTCTTGCCTTTCCAGACAACGCCCGAATGCCCTCGGTGTTTACATTTTCCTAGACGCTGAAGTTCATGTGAACCCTATCTAATCTGTAGGCGTTCGAATTGTCAACGTATTTTCAGTGTCTTATCAGCAGATACAAACTACTGGCAATTCTGTGACGTCAACAGATTTGGAATGACAAAATTTTTAATGCGGGAGATGAAAAAACAGACGATGACAAATTTATTGTCAACAAAGAAAGTGCCTAAAGTGCGACGCATAGATATTCGTAAAATTTTGCAGATATATCCTGACTAATCCACACATCAATTTCCAAAAATTTCAGCTCGCGCTTTGCCGGGAGAGCCGAGATATTCAAGAATCCTTGCACCGAGAGAGTACGCAATGGAAATGTTGAGATTTTCGCATTTTCGCGCGACGGTGTGCCGACACGTCAAGGCTTTTTGCGGTCCGCATTGCACAGGTTTTAGTCTGTTGGGAAAATAATGTGGATTTGTCGCTCCAAAACGTATCGCCTCGTCGCTGCCGCAGACCAAATCTCCAGCCATGGCTACCTGTTACAAAGCAATTATTGGCGGTTCCCGGACGAATCCACATTATTTTCCCGACAGGATGATAGTTCAGTGGTTCCATTGTTTCAGTCTGTCGGGAAAATAATGTGGATTTGTCACAAAAAAAGTCCTCGCCTCGTCGCAGTTGCAGACCAAATCTTCAGCCACGGCTAGCCGTCGCCAAGCGATGATGGTCGATTTCCAGACTAATCCACATTATTTTCCCGACAGGCTGACAGTTCAACTGTTCTATTTTACCTTCATTCTCCCCATAACACCTCCTTCGAACCTTCCTTGAGCAATCGGAACTTCCAAGACAATTTTTATATCCCTAATTAGACCCGACCGTCTTTACAACCGTCTCCATCCGCTGGCCTTGTCCGCTTGACTTGCGCCTTCCTACCGTAGCCACCCACAATTAAACTCCTTACTTTGGCTTCGTTTTTGCACCCAAACTTTTGTCGATTACAATGAAAAACTTACTACTTTTCCGCGAGACGGCTCGTGTTTCTTTTTTGTGGGGTTGCGAGGCAAGTCTGGCGGGAAGTGAGGGCCCTTACAAAAGGTCGAAACATTGGCTGAGTATCGATTCCGAGGCTGTTTTTGAATTACTTTTGAGTTAAAAAGTTCAATTTTTAGTTCGATTTTGAGCGAAATTCACTGTTTACTTTGCGATATCTCAACTTTTTGGGGGTGAAATGGCTTCTTAGTTTGAGAAATTACAGTCAAAGCCGAAAAATCAGTCTGTCGGAACAATAATGTGGATTTTTCGCGCCTTGGATCTCTTTGCGATGGGTAGCCGCGGCTACAGTTTTTGAGGCGAGACGTTTTGAAAATAATGTGCAAATCCCTATTATTTTCCCGACAGACTGATACAAAAAATCTTTCCAAAAAAATCCGTGATAGAAGGTCTCCGTTGCGCGGAGGATCAAAAATTGCATCTCAAACGGTCCGTTATAGAGAGGTTTTACTGTGCGAGGATTTATTAGGTAGACTTTTTTTGGGCAACTTTTATCTCATATCGTTCTGGCCAAAGACAAAACTATCCTCCGCGCGCCTGCACGGGTCCCAACGCCCCGTAATGCGACGCCAAAGAATCATCAAAAACGATGGAACGCGAGTGATAAAAATAAGTAAGCATATACATTTCTTCTTGATGTTTCCACGAAAAAAAAATGATTTTTTCCATATCAGTCTGTCGGGAAAATAATGTGTATTCTTCGCGCTTTAGAATCATCGCCCATCATCGCTTTTCGACGGCTTGTCCGGGCTGGGAATTTGTTGCGCGGATACCACGAGGCGAGAGATTTTGCTGCACAAAATCCACATTATTTTCCCGACACAATGATAACGAAATTTTTTGGAGGGAACACCCTTTTACCCCTGCTCAATTAGTCCTTTGCAATCTACCGTAAAAACAAAACTTTGCCCTTCCGTCGCCCTTGCAATTACTCGTCAATTACTTGTCAATTGCAGGCGTTTTTCAACTGTTTACCAATTCCTGTCAATTACAAAATTGCACAATCGCCAAAAATCGTCTTTCCGGGCGTTGCGAGAACAAAAGAGTGTTTTGGGCGGCAAATGTTTTCGCCCCAACGTTCTCTGAACACAACGGCGACACGGAAGTTTTGCGATGACATTCGGGGTTCATGTACTTTCATTTCGGCGTCAAACGCCACAGAATGAAACAACGTGGTCTGATGATGCCTTTTCAAAGCATCAAGTAGCCTCAAACAACCTTGGTCGGGCGGTTGATACGCACGTTTCAGGTGTTATATAAATGGAGCAATTTCGCTCCGGAAAGGCAATTGTTTTTTTGGGAAGAATGTTTTTAGCGAGGAGTACTGTAGGAAAGTCGCTGGAGTGGTTTCGGCGACGTGCACCATGCAATTTGTTGGCTTTTGCACCGTGCAATAGGCTTAATAGGCTTTTTCGCGCTGTCGCTAGCACTATGACTTTTACTGCGCAGTGCATGTCGCCGAAATCACTCCAGCGACATGCGAACGGACTATCAGTCTGTCGGGAAAATAATGTGGATTTGTCGAGCTTTGAAATCGCCCATCATTGCTTTGCGACGGCTAGCCGCGGCTGGAAGTTTGGTCCGCGACTGGGAAGACGTGATTATAGACCAAAATGAATCTTGGTGATTTTAATTTTATTTGTCAGGACAATTACTCTCTTTTACTAATCTTTCCGGAAAGTCGCTGGGCTGATTTTTGGCGTTCGCACAGTGTAAAAAAGTCAGAGTACGAGCATCAACAGAAAAGGCCGTTTGTAAGAAAATTGCACAGTGCAACGCAAAGTTTTGGCCCTATATCGATCCCTGAAAGTCTTATTCTAGCTTACGCTTTCTGAATTTCTCAGAAGCAACCGAGAAGTTTAGGAGTACGGGAAATGCGGAGAGCGGTTAGAGGGAAAACAACTTTTTGGCCATGCCTTTGTCAGTGTAACGCCAAGGTTTGCGCTGGCTTTTTAACAATTCTGTTTGCCCATTTCAAAGGCTTCCCTTGCGATTATTAATATGTCGGGAAAATAATGTGGATTCGTTGCGCCAGAATCGCCCACCAACGCCTTGCGACGGCTAGCTGGAGACCTCGTACCCGTGGCGAGATATTTTTTTAAAAACTGCGACAAATCCACATGATTTCCCCGACAGACTTTTGTTATGCTAGCAAGTCATTTACTTTGTTGAAAAAACGTGACTTTCAGACTTCTGGCGCCTCCCTGTTGAACTTTTTACCTTCAATTTGCCCCTTCTCCACTCAACTTTCCCAACATTTACTGTGATCCTTCAAAGGGCTTCCCCATTTTGACAAATTTCCTACCGTAACCCGTGTCTATCAAGTCTCGAGTGGAAAAAAATCGACCTTAACCTTTTGAAATCCGAATTTTTTGTGTAATCAGCATTTGATTCCACTTGATTCTTTGCTCTTCCTCCTGAAAACTTATTTTTGGTCGCCAAAAATCGGGCTTGAAGACTTGTCTGAATTCGTAATCACACTTTACAGCAAAGTCTGTAAGCGTTTCCCCTTCATTCCGTTTGATATCAGTTGATTTTGACACGTGAGAGGGTTCCGAAACTTTTTTCCGGCTTCTTTATTGTTTGGCTGCAGAATTTTTACTATTGTTGGTTTCATCATGGTTTGTCGGGAAAATAATGAGGATAATGTCTCCCCATGTATAGCGAATAATTTCAGATGTTGCAAGAGTCAATTTAGGTCAAAATGAACCTCTGTACAATGAAGCCCTTCTATAACGAACAAATTTTTTGATTGCCTGCGTAAAAAAATCTGTCGGGAAAATAATGTGGATTTGTTGCAGAAAAATGTCTCGCCAGGTATAGAGAGCAGTTATAAATAAGAATGAACCTCCATAAAATAAAGCCTTTCTATAACGAACCATATTTTTTAGACACTTGCGATTAGAAAAATCTGTCGGGAAAATAATGCGGACTTGTCGAAAAAAATATCTTGCCAAAAAAAATAAAAAAAAATTGGTATAAAATTATCAGTCTGTCGGGAAAATAATATGGATTTTTCACAGATAAATGTCTCGCCTTGTCGCAGTCGCCAAATCTCCAGCTAGCCGTCACAAAACGATGAGAGGAAATTTCACGGCGCGACGGATCCACATTATTTTCCCGACAGACTGATAATCTTAACTTTATTTTTTTATTTTTTTTTGGAACATTTTTTTGTGTTTTAAAAAATTGTTTAGAAATATTTTTCCGATTTTTTCCACATTTTTTCACATTTTTTACACTTTTTTAAACTTCTTCGAAAACATATTTTTTTACAACTTTGCTTGTAAATTTTTTTGCATTGGCATTTTACTACAGTAATTGTATCAAAACATGCTCATTACAACCGCAATTTATTTCATTTCTCAAGGTCTTTCTGTCACCTTGTACTGTAGACTTTGGCTGGAATTTAGTTTTTTTAAAAATTGCTCATGTTTGCTGGATCATTGATCAGTCGGATGGAGATTGCACTAACAACAAGTTAAAAGCTTGACGTGAAGTTTTTTTCGTACAAAAAGTATAGTAGGCGAGCGGATATGACGAAAAAAATGTTTTAGGGGCGGAGTTTTGGTCAATTTCAAAACTTTTTTTTTATGAAACCTTAATAAATTGAAGTTATAAGATTTATAGGGCCCTAGGAAATGGTTTATCGCCCACAAAATGCATTTTACATCGGTTACTACAGGGTGGGCCAAAAAAACATGGACATTGATTTTTCTTTGATTTTTCCTGCCATGAAACAGTTTTTGAGAAAAGGTATATATGGCATGAAGGTACTGTGTTAAAGGAACATATTTACTGTAGAATTTTTGTCCTATCTTCAAAAGTTTCTAACATACGGTTGCAGGAAAGTCGCCGGGTCAGCGCGCCAATTCCCGCGGCAAAAATTCAAAAGCTGTTGCTCCTAAATTTTTTAGAGCCGCCATAAACACATACCAAGCGGTCTAAGCAAATTTAGGAGGCTTGTCCCCTTAGGCTTTAAGAGGATTTAAGCCAGGCTTTTCGGAAAATGAAGAACCTGTGACCAGTGTCACGACTTGAGTATGAGTCGTGATGTAAGGCCCACTTGACTCGCCCGCTACTACTAGTAGTCCCTACCTAACTCGGAGACGCAACCTAGCAAGAAAAAGGTGAACTCACGCTGTTGATTTCACGTAGTTTCCACCACCGCTCTTAACACCAAGGAACTTCCCAAATGATCACAAAATATTTATTCGCCACGGAAAAAAGTGACCGAAAAGCGGTCGATCCATTACATTTATATCAAAATATTCGTATTTATGCTAATTCCTGAGAACTCTTCACGGAATCGTGACACCAGAAGTTGGACACTTGGCCAGGCAAAATCGACCTTCATTTGGGCGCCTTCGGAAAAAAGCGACAAACCGGGGAAAAAGACAAAATGCACAGTGCGTGAGCTCATGAGACTGCACATTGCATTTTTTATCCGCAATGTGCTGATTTTTGTGTCGCGGAAAACCCGTCGAGTGCACAGTGCAAAGAAAACTCAAGGCTGTTCAACCCATGCAACTCGATTGTTGTCTTTTTTACACTCATAATCAATGTTTCCCCCGCTCCTAATCGCCTGTTTACATCACGTGTTTGGGGCTGCGAACCTGGAACAGGCTTCATTTTGATCAATCTTCCGATAAAAACCGTAAAAATAATTCACAAAGCACGTTGTCGACGTTCTCCCCATCTACCGTAACCCCTTTTTGGGCTCCCTTAAAAGCCTCTTCTTTGGCGCCTGAAGCAAAAAATTGTGTGTTTTTGTGGAAATCGTTGGGGAATTTTCACAGAAAAGGCGTTAATTCGAAAGGCCGACGGTTCAAGGGCTGAGATTTGGTTGAACGACTTAACGGGTGGGTACCTAATTCAATTACCAAAGCGTTTTTCGTCATGTGAGGGTCGGGTGGGAGGTCTTTCGTTTGTTTGTTTTGAGCTCGGAAATTTTTTGATAGCGTCATTCGGTCAGGGATTACGCATTGCGAGCGGTGGGGTGTGGGATTTGGCGGTTCATTGGTAAATTGTATGTATCAGTCTGTCGGGAAAATAATGGCGGGTCCTCGCAGCAAAATTGCTAGTCTCGCCGCTATCGCGCACCAAATCTCCAGTTGCGGCTTGCCGTCGCGGAGCGATGATGGGCGATTCCAAGGCGCTATGAATCCACATTATTTTCCCGACAGACTGATAGCTGTCTGTCGGGAAAATTATGAGCATTCAGCGACACGATCGGCGCAGCGGCATTGTGCTTATTATTTTCCCGACAGACTGATACAGTGGATTCGCTGTATCGAAAAATCGCTGCCGTTCAACGACATCTGTCTATAATTATATATAGTGAATACAGCTGCGGGGTTAACCGGATCAGGTATAGCTTCCATTGAATAGGGCCGACAAAAAGTTTGAAATGGGCCCGTTCGAGAGTAATATTATCCATCAGAATTTGCTCAATGAAAAAAAAATGTTTTTTATAAGTCTGTCGGGAAAATAATGTGGATATATCGCCTTTCGGAATTGCCCATCGTCGCTTTGCGACGGCCAGCCGCGACTTGGGATTTGGTGCGCGACTGCACCCTTTTTTTCGACGAGGCAAAACATTTCGCTGCGACCACTCGCCGTTATTTTCCCGACAGACTGATAGTAAACAAATTACAAGTGTTTTTCTTCCTGTAGCATATCCCTGCGTTCGCAGACGAAAACAATTCTTTTATCAGTCTGCCGGGAAAATAACGAGCGCATTGTCGCGCCGATCACGTCGCTGAAATGAAAGGCAATTTGATTCACAATTCATTTTCTCGGCGGCGATGCGATTTTCACTGCCACAGTGTGCTCATTATTTTCCCGACAGACTGATAAATAAAAACTTGGACTTGAAGTTGAACCCTATTTCTTCACATTAGAGTCATAGCTTGGGAATTACAAAGCCCATCCTTTACTCTTCCTTAAACCAAAAATCTTTTGAAATCAGACAACAACAAAACAGCAGTGTTGTTTTGTTGCGTAGATGGTTTTTATGATCTTTCTTCCGGAACGTCTCTGTACGCGGTCAACAAACACCAGTTTCAACTGCTTTGGCGAATTGCCCAGCAGTGAGTTGTGAAGGTATAAAACATACTTGGAAGGTGAATGTTTTCCTACTATTTTACCACGCGCTCTCAAAAGTGCGTAGGCAAGCACAGAAAAATTCCAAGGACTTTTTGTCACGAGTACTAATACACTAAATATCAGTCTGTCGGGAAAATAATGAGCACTCTGTCGCATCGACGATCGCATCGCCGCCGAGAAAATGAATCGTGTCGCGGAAAAAAATCAAATTTCTTTTCACTTCAGCGACGCGATCGGCGATTTCGTGCTCATTATTTTCCCGACAGACTGTTATTTTGCATTTTCAAAAAATAAAAAAAAAATGTTTTCTTCAAAACTTTTTTCTCAATTTGTCTCAAAAAAGGCTCAAAGGAGTGTCTATTCTAATATTATCCTTTTCGACTTTTATCTGGAATTGCTGATTATGCAAAAAGTCTTGTGATTTTTCGCAATTTTTTTGATATAAAATTGATTCCTTTCCCTGGAGCTTTCACAAAGTTTCTTTTGATTTTTATTCAATTCTGTCTTGATTACCCCACAGGGAAATTCTCCAAATGCGACGCTCATATTTTAATGAAACTTGGCGTAAATTTAGAGTAGATTTTTTCTAAGGTATATCCGAGATTTCTAGCTCGCGTTATGCAGAAAACAACCAAGATTTTTTGGTCGAAAGTTGGGAAAAACGTGAATTTCTTTTTTGGAATTTTGGGCCGAAAATTTTCATGGCTATTTCTACTGTAAAGAGCGATGTTTCCATAAAAAATCATTTCTTTCCGCGCAAAACTGGTAAAGATATGGCCAAAAACTGTTTTTCTTTCTTACCGGTCTCCGCATTTTGTGTACTCTATCGGCCTCAAAGCTCGTTGAATATCTCGGCTCTTCCTGCAAAGCATGAGCTAATATCTGGATGGAGGGCTAGAAAATAGGTTATTTTTGATCGTATACCGGCCAAAAAAAAGTTTTTCTTAGTACCTTGCATTTGATATTCTTCTTGTCGTTCTGAAAAATTTCATATTTATTTCTATTGTAGAGAGTAATGTTTCCACAAAAAATCAACTTTTTCTGCACAAGACTGTCAAAGATAAGGTCAAGAACTGTTTTTCTCTCTGACCGCTCTCCGCATTTCGCGTATTCTCTCGGCCCCAAAGCTCGCTGAATATCTCGGCTCTCTCTGCAAAACCCCAGCCAAACTACATTTTTAGCTCTTTTAAAAACATAAATAGCTACATAGATCTTTGATCTAAAGCACAAATCAGACGTATGTGCTGTTAGATACATCTGTTTACCACGACAAATACTTTAGAGTCCCCTTTGCAAAATACAAAATAGGCTTCTGGAAGGGTCGACTAGGTGAATACCTTCTATTTTTAGACCCCTCTTACATACTTCCTCTTTTGTTCAAGGTAAAAGGAGCGTTGATATTGGGAAATAAGTTCATTTTCAAGTTATTTATAAAGCGGTTTCTAAGTGATCCATTTTTTTCATGTTTTTTAAGTGCTACTTGCGCCATAAAGTTTAGAGAACTTGAAAAGTGTGTTTTTCCCATTTTTGGGTCCGTTGCCACAACTTCGGCATTTGTCCATGCGATATATACTGTTTCGCGAAGCGACGCCAGATTTCGACGCCGACGAAAAAATGCTAAAACTTTACTGATCCTTGCGGAAAGTCGCATTATTTTCCCGACAGAATGAGAGTAACGTCGTATAAAGCGAAAAAGTGGGGAGTACGGTGATTACTAGTCCTTCCGGAAAGTCGCCGGACCAAAATCGGCGACATTTACTGTTCGTAAATAAACGTTTTCTTTGTACTGTGCATTTTGTCGCTTTTTTCAAGAAATTATTTCGCTTTTTTTGGCTGCTGCTCGCACCCCAACTTTATTCGCGCAGTGCAAACGCCAAAAATCAGTCCGGCGACTTTCCAGAAGGGCTAGTATGACGCCAGTACCAAAAAAGCTAGGCGGATAGGCTTTGATTAGCAAGGGAAGTACTACAAGTGCGACTCTCATATTTTCGTTATATTCTGCACATGCGCCGGACATAGGCTACATATCAATTCCTGAAAATTTTGTCTCACACTTTGCAAGGAGAGCCGAGGTATTGAACGATCTTTGCGGCCGAGAGAGTAGGCTAAAATCGGAATGCGGTCAGATTGAAAAACACTTTTTGGCCATATCTTTGCCAGTTTCGCCCGGAAAAAACTGATTTTTCGTGGAAATATTACTCTCTACAGTAGAAATAGCTATGAAACTTTTCATGCCAAAATTTGCAAAAAAGATTTTCAAATTTTTCCCAACTTTCAACCAAAAAATCTCGGTCGTTTTTTCAAAATGAGAGCTAGAAATTCGCATATGTCTCAAAAAAGTTACTCTGAATTGTTGCCAAGTTTCATCAAGATCTGATCGTCCCCTTTGAGTTTGTGCTTTCAATTCCCGCCTCCCATTTTTCTCCGCTTACCTATTGTTGCCTGCCAAAACACATTTCAGCCCATCACCATAACATTTACAACGCGCGTTGCATATCATTGCATTACATTCTTCGGCTGATTGAGTTGTTTTCTTTTTCCAGGGACTTCCGCTGGTCGGGTCGGCTTTTGTGGGACGAATGGGTGCTCCAGAAGTGTCATCGCGCTATTTCTTCCAGCTTCACGTTCACGTGAGTTTATATGTAAATATATAAATAATGACGTCATAAAGGTTTGTAAAGGTCATCCTGAGGTAAAAATCAGGGGCAGTTTTGCTATAATATCATCATTTTCACTGCGATTTTCGCTGCGATTTGTGCTCATTATTTTCCCGACAGACTGATATTAACATTTTCATAAAGTGCATGGACATTTGTCGCGGCCCGCAGTGTGCCAAAACCTTTGATTTTTTGCACTGTGCATTCACTTTTTTTGTTTTGCACTGTGCGTTTGAAGTGTCGTTGCGACATAAACTTTTTCAAATTGGGTAATCGCGGTTTTTGAGTGCCCGTCCGAAAACTCGCTGGCGTGATTTTCGCGACCTGCACTGCGCAAAAACAAAAGCTCACTTTAATTCTCAATTTATTTACACTAATCACATGCAAAAAAATCATGGAGTGTATCATAACGGTTTCCATTGTCCGGTCAGTGTAAGATCGCTCCACCGGAGAACATGATTCTTGCCAGTATCGTCGATCCATCTCATCCTGAAGCGCCCAAACGGTCGTGTGTAGGGGGATGTCGAATTCATGCTGATCACTTCCGTTTCCCACGATTTCTTGAATTGCTTCAATTTTCCCTCGGTTTGGATTGATCTACCATTGACAGTATGAACTTGAAATCCATTACGATGAAGAGCTACTGTCCCAGGCGAAGCCCTTTGTGCCCGCAACGGCATGGGTGGACAGGAAAACCGACCGCTCTCCATGAAGAAAAAATCGGAATCCAAGCTCACTTTGCACTGTGCAATTCATTGATTTTTGCACCGTGCAATAGGCTTTTTTGAGCTGTCGCTCCTGACTTTTCTTGCCCAGTGCAAACTCCAAGAATCACGCCAGCAACTTTGCGAGCGGATTAATTACAATTTTTTGGTTGAAAGTGCAAAGCACGTCAAACTGAGGAGTCCGGTGACTGGAGTAGACACTTCGCTATCGGTTTTTTACACTTCGTCTATTTCGCAGAGAAAGAGAGAAAAAATGACACGTAAAAACGTACTCTCTCGCCCCAAAAATTCCCCATTTCTCCCCCGACAAAACGTTTTTTCGCGTCTTTTTTTGGCAAATTGCCAATCCATTCGCCGGACTGTTTTAGCTTATCTCAGTTTGACGTGCAAAGTAAAGAAAGTACTGTAACAATAGTTTGATCAGAGATGCACCGTTCTTTGCCGATTTACAAGATACGTTTATAAAGTGTAAATTTTACGTTTTCGCCGATCAATAATTTTTGCTAACAGGGGAAGTACTCCAAGTGCGACGCTCAGATTTTGATGAAACTTGGCACAAATTTAGAATAATTTTTTCTAAGATATATGCAAGAATCCTAGCTCGCGCTTTGCAGAAACAACCGAAATTTTTAGATCGAAAGTCGGCGAAAATTTAGGACTTTTTGCCGAATTTCGGCACGAAAAGTTTCGTGCCTATTTCAACCGTAAAGGATAATGTTTCTACAAGAAATCAAATTTTTTCACATGAAACTGCCAAAGTTACGGCCAAAAAGGTTTTTTCTCTCTGACCGCTCTCCACGTTTAGCGTGCTCTCCCGGCGGCAAAAGTCGTTCGATATCTCGGCGGCGCCCGCAAAGCGCGAGCTAAAACTTTCAGGAATTGATATTTTGTCCATACCCGACGTGTGTGCAAAATTTAAAGAAAATCTGAGCGTCGCACTTGGAGTACTTACCTTATAAGGCAGATGCGAGACTCCTAGCTCGCGCTTTGCAGAAACGAGCGAGATTTTTAAGTCAAACTTTGGCAAGAATGTGACATTTTTCTGCGAATTTTGGCAGGAAATTTTTTCCGTAAAACACTAACAAAAATATGGCCAAAACTATTTTTCTATCTGACCGCTCTCCGTGTTTCGCATACTCTCTCTGCCTTAAAGATAGTTGACTATTTCTGCTGCAACTGCAAAGCGCAAGATAAAACTTGCAGGAGTTGATGTATAGCCTATGCCTGACGTGCATGCAAAATTTTAAAAAATTCTGATTGTGAGTGTCTCAATTGGAGTACTTGTTTGTCCTTTTCCAACTCCAAATCATCTGTTTTTCCCCGCTTATCTGCGTTTTGTGCTCCAAATACGTGGGTCTTGACGTCGAAACGACGACCAAATCCCACGCCATTTTTGTTTAAACAAGGTCTTTGAGCGTTCGGGAAAACAGAATGAATCAAAATTGTTTTGATGAATTTTGGATTTAAACTCGCAAAAAACAAAAATCTGTTGCAAGAAAGTGGGTCAACAAAAAAATATATAGTTTGGATAAAAAATTGAAAATACAGTAGCTTAAACTATAGTGGGACTGCAATTTGTTACAGCCGGAAATCCATAGAGATTCATAATAGTATCAGTCTGTCGGGAAAATAACGGCGGGTTGTCGCAGAAAAAGGTGATCTCTCGTCGAAAAAAGGATGCAGTCGCGCACCAAATCTCCAGCTTCTGCAGCCATCGCAAAGCGATGATGGAAGATTCTGAACCGCCACGATCCGCGGTTATTTTCCCGATAGACTGATGGAACCTCTATACAACAAATTCCCCAAAAATGAAACCTCTCCGAAAGAGTTCCTTATTCTGGCCGCAACAAAGGTACTCTGCGAACTGCGCCCAAGCTTGGGAACTAAAGTTAGGAAAAAAGGCTTCGACATAGCTATCACTGAATTACTATAGTAGCTCTATAGTTTTAAGGGTACCTACGAAGGCTATGACGACTCATTTAGTTCCATACGGAGGCAATAAGTTTATTTCCTTACATGTTTCATCGTATAAAGTGTAAAATCGCAGGCTGCAGCCGTTTTTGAAGGGTAAGGTGGTACGTAAAAAAGAAGGTACCTCACTAACTAAGTCCACTGTCTGGGAATTGACAACGATGAATTGAGCCTGCACGCCAAATTTGGGCTAGTTTCCGCGAAGTTATAAGTTGTGGCCAGAATACGGAACTTTTACCAAACCTCTCTATTACGAACAATTTCCGAGCCGTAGAGACTCAGTTTTGGGCCAAAATAAGTTACCAAACCAAATGTTCATATTATCAGTCTGCCTGGAAAATAATGAGCACACTGTCGCTGCGCCTATCGCGCCGCTAAAGTGAAAAGCCATCGAAAGTCGTTCGTTGTGGAGAGGTTTCTTTGTACGGGAGTTTGTTTCATAGAAGAATATTTCACGTGGTTTCAAACTAGTCTTTTTGCGTTGTAAAAAAAGCACTTTCCCTCGGGAATGTTCGCAGTTTGGTCACGGAGTTGACCTTGACTTGGCGGATGTCCTGCTCTCCAATTTTGAACCACAATCTGTCGCTAGAATAATTTGAGTTTTTTTGCAGAAAGCCAACTTCCTGCTAGCCTCGTTCCTCTCCATATGCTATAGTGTTTCGTTCGCCGCCACGCTACAACATGCGGTGCACAATGATTTGATGGACATCGGATGGATTGGAGTGTTGTCGGCCGCAACCGCCATGTTGGCATATTTGACGCTTCTTTTGGGGAATGCGTTGCGCGTTTCGTGGCTCTACATCCCCGCCTTGTTCTATTCGGTAAGTAAAAAAAATTTTCGAAGGTGCGTAGATTTTTTGTGGAAACATTATTCTCTACGGTAGAAGAGAATAGGTATGAAACTTTTCTGTTTTAAGTTTTAATTTTAATTTTTTTTGATCCAAAAATCACGGTTATTTCTGAAACACGAGCGATAAGCATCTCCTATAGAGCTTAGAAAACTATTATCAGTCTGTCGGGAAAATAGTGGGCACATTCTGGCTGGGCCGATCATGTCGCTGAAGTGAAAAGCATTTTGATTTTCTCCGCGACACAATTCATTTCCTCGGCGGCGATGCGATGCGACAGATTGCTCATTATTTTCCCGACAGACTGAGAGCTCAATTTTTTTATTAATTTCATCAAAATCGAATGATAAATTAATTTTTTTGACCTTCCAAACTACAAAAATTTTTCATTCACAGAAACACCACCCCGTATTTTACCCTGCCTCCAATTTCAGGTGCTCTGGTCGTTCGACCAGACCTGTGAGTCGGTCACAAAATCCTGGGCCTACTTCTCTTCGCTGGCGGATCAGAAGACCTTCACGCAGACCATCATCATCCCCTACCATCACGAGTACCTGAACACGTTCGTCGACGACGTCTTGGTGAACCTGCTGAGGCCGACCGTCGGCTTCGCAACACTGGTCATCGTGTTCTGCGGCTATCAGTACCTGAAGGACATGGCCAAGGACAAAAAGTCGGTGGAGATGAAGAGCCTGGGACAGCCCGAGAATCTGCCCATGTTCGAGACGGTCTAGAAGGGTCGAATGTTTAAAATTTGTTCGCTTTATTCCTTATACAATTTGTAGATCCTCTCTCTCGGAGCCCTTGTACAACTTGTAGATCCTTTAATAATTTATTAATCTCGTCTTTGATCCTGTGATGATTGTTGGAGGCTGGAGAAAAGGGAACGGCCGACGGAAAAAAAGTCGATTGGCATTTTCACAAAGTGCATGGACATTTTTTTTGTTTTCTTTCGCACAGCGCATTTTGACCTTTTTCCTGCCGTTGTCGCCGACGCACAGTGCGTTTTGAACTTTTCCCGCCCTAGTCGCTGATGCACAGTGCATTTTAAATTCTTTTCCACGGTTGTCGCCAACGCACAGTGCACTTTTTTTGCACTGTGAAAATTCTCCAGCAAAGCCGACGCGACGCAGCTTTTTGTCGCCACGATGTCTCCAATGCACGGTGCAAAAACTCAAATGCACAGTGCAAGCTCGGCTTTTTGCCTCAGTTTTCGCACGGTGCGGGATTTTGGCGCATTTTGCACTGTGCGTTTTTACCCATTGCGCGATGTCCTGTTCACAGTGCAAAAAATGTGACATGCACGGTGCAAAATCCTGCTTTCTTGTGCACGGTGCGAACAGCGACAAAATGTCCATGGACTTTATGAAAATACTAATAAATTGTTGCTGTATTAAAAATTTTGCCGACTTGAAAGGTCGTTGCGTCAAATGGTACAAATGAAAGTCCCTGTAACGCATTGTATTGTAAATAATTTTGATTTTTGGTAGATAAACTTCATGAAGTTCATGAAAATTCAATTAATTAAATTTTGAGAAAACATTGTAGAAATGTTTACGCTTCAGACAAACGTAAAGTTTAAAAAAATATTTTTCAAACTTCTGGCGCAATTTCGCACGTCGCATCTTTGCACTTTAAAGCAGTTATTTTTACGGTTGGTCACAGCAGAAACAGCCTCGTTGTGCCGCCACAGAGATTCATTTTAACCAAAAAAAAGCAATTTGTAATGTCCCACAACGTCGACAACATATAGAACAAGTAGTAAAGGCAGATGACTACAAAGCTTAGAAGGTCCTTGTTGGCAATAATGCCAAATTTGCATAATGGATTCGGCTATAAAAGCCACAAGAATACACTTTTTTGTCTCATTCTCTTTTCTCGTCCTTTGAGGAATAAATTCTCCGTCTTGACCGGTCGACTACTCTGTGCCATTATCCTCTCGACTCTCGACTACCATATCTCCTTGCCGTTGTTCATTCGTTATATGGGGGCTGAGCCGGGGAACCTCTCAGTCGACCCCTCCCTTCTTGCCCCTCTTGAGACAGATTCCCCCATGATTTCTAAGTCCTTTGCAGATGGACTCGGCACAATTGAAGGATCCCGAGTTGAGTCCCTCCGGATCCGAAGCTTCCAACTCTCCCACACCAGACGACAGTATTGCCGAGATCTCGATCTGCTCCTCTCCCGAAAACTCCCCAAGAAAGCCCGATCAATTACCCCGTCGAAAACCCGACGTTGTCCTCTCCGAAGCCGTCGGAGAACCCTTGGCCCAATTCATCTGATCTCAACCCGCCTTTGTCTCCGGATTTCTAGTATCCGCCCTAGCCGCTGTTCCCCTGCAGAGCTGGCCAAGTTAACTGGCCCCATCGTTTTGTTCGACGAGCGCATCGAAGAAGCCGGCAGACCGCAAAGCCAGATCATGGAGACGCTGAAGCCACCAAACAACCCGAAATCACCGGAGGCAGTCTGCAAAGCTCAGACGTCCAACAACCAACCAATCAACCCATGGGCCAATCGGATCTCCCCGTACCCCCTCTATCCCAACACCCAACAACCCCTTTCATGCTTTTCAGAATTTTTTGAGCCTTGTTTCCACTGCACTTTTCTACAAAAAGCCCCTGTTTAAGGAAAACTGGAGCACTCCAAATCAGTACCCGCAGTTGAGAGATTAGAGGACGGGTCTGAGAAAATTGGAGGGCACCCATTTGATCGCCCTTTGATCTACAGTGTATCTATCAATGCTGTAGATCATCAGTCTGTCGGGAAAATAACGGCGGGTCGTCGCAGCAAAACTTTTTGCCTCGTCGAAAAATGCGTGCAGTCGCGAACCAAATTCCCAGCCGCGGATAGCCGTTGGGCGATTGCAATGCTCCAAGAGTCCACACTATTTTCACGACAGACTAAGATCAGCGTCATATAAAGCGAAAAAGAGGAGAGTACGGTGACTATACAAGAGTAATCGTCCCGACAAATAAAATTAAAATCAACAGAATTCATTTTGATCTCAAATCGACTCTTTTCAGCTCCACTTTTTATTATAAGCAGGCTTTGCTGTAGAGAAGTTTGTATTTAATTTGCCGATGTCTCTGTTGAACTTTCAATTTGCTATTTTTACATTTCTTTTCCACATCTCCTCCAATTATAAATAACCAATGGACCACCGTTCAGTCGAATCACAAGACCCGCAGAGGGTTGTACGTCGCCGTCGCTGTTGTGAAACCAATCTCATCCATCAAGTCAATAAAGTACAAACTACCTAATTCGCCATTTCTTCATCATTCTCATTGCGGTCGATGAAGATTGTTATTGTCGTTGTGGGGTTGCGTGTCCATTGAGTATATAAATCGGGGCACACGGCAATCTTCGGGGTGTTATTTTTATTCAATGGCTTGTTCTTTGATTTTAATCCGCGCATGGCTTAAATTTCACTGTAAATATTAGTCTGTCTGGAAAATAATGTGGATTTGTCGCCTCGTCGCAGTTGCGTGTTTTAACTAAGGTTTAAAAATCTAAAGTAGCTGTATGATGAGAGGTTTCAAGGCGCGAGGAATCCGCATTATTTACCCGACAGACTGATAAATTCTAAAATACGATTTTTGGGCTGAATCGACTTTTGAAAGTCTGAAAAATAAGCCGGCCCGTTTCGAATTTTCTTCGGCCCAATGGAAGTCAGGTCCGGCTCGGTGAGGGCCGCTAGTGATCTGCAGCTTATCAATAGTGGGTGCGGGCTAGTCAAAAGCCACAAAAAAAATGTTTTTTATGTTGAAAAACGTCTGCTAAGTAAACCCAGGTCATGGCAACCCAAGGAGTCTCCCGCCCTTTCGGCACTTTGCCCATCCAGTATCGGTTGTCGTCAAACGAAATGCCAGAAATAAATTTTTCGTGAGGTTTCCAGACCGAAAAAGCATTGTTTTCGGGATGATTTTCTTTTTGTTGTCAATTTTGACACTTTGTTTGGACGAAACTGAAAAGCGGACGAGAGACATTTTTGTTCCATTTTTGGGTTGCCGTGCAGCTTTACTTTGCTCACCATAATGAACACTCTGTGGCTGGCCAATCCTGTTGCCGAAGTGAACAGCAATTTGATTTTTTCCGCGACACAATTCATTTTCCCGGCGGTGATGCGATTTTTTCGATGCGACAGAGTGCTCATTATTTTTCCGACAGACTGATAAAAAGGCTATTATGGCCTTCTCAAAATACAACAAAAAAATTCACAACTCTTTCGAAACTTCTAATTTGGAACTTTCTCCATCACAACTCTACGTGCCGCTGCAGAATCTGTTCGCATTGTGATCGGTCATAATGTAACAGTGATCAGTTCCCATTCGTTTGCTCGCCGCGTCTTTCACAAACCTTCTCGAAACGTTTGTCGTCGTTTCATTTTGTTTTCACGCGAAGATGCACCTACAATTATTTCTCCCTGTTTTCCCATCGTCGGTCTATTTTCGGAGTCCCCAAGAAGTCTTGTGAGGAATGGGGAGAGCGAATTGCGCGACCGTCCCCTTTTTTCAGTTTTTTTAGTTTGCTTTACAACTCATTATTGACTTGACTAGTTAGAGGAGAACACTGGGCAAGCAGCTTTTTTTTTACGCGATGATAATTGGTAATTGAAAATATTTGTCTGTCGGGAAAATAATGAGCACTCTGTTGCATCGAAAATCGCATCGCTGCCGGGAAAATGAATTGTATCGCGGAGAAAATCAAATTGCTTTTCACTTCAGCGACAGGATTGGCCAGCGACAAAGTGCTCATTATTTTCCCGACAGACTTATATAATTAAATTCTCTTTCTTTTTGAATGAGTTTTGAGGGCTACTATAGTCTTAGAACTACAGTTTTTTTATTGACAATCAACTCTAGGTTCCGTCCACATTCCAATTCCTAAAAATTTAACTCGGCTTTTCCGGCACAGCCGATATATTGAACGATCTTTGCGGCCGAGAGAGCACGCAAAATGCGGAGAGAGAAAAACACTTTTTGGCCGCTTTTTAACACCGCACCGGTTGCGTGGCTGAAGTGAAGAAAAATTTGCTTTTTCACTGCGACACAATTAATTTCTTGGCGGCGATGCGATTAGCCCTAATGTGCTCATTATTTTCCCGGCAGACAGAAACAGGGAAGTGCTCCAAGTGCGGCGCTTATTGCACAGTGCAAAAAACAAGAAAAATGCATTGCGCGCAGCGAAAAAAGTCTACGCACTTAGTGTAACGATCAACGTCGAACCTCTAATTAAGGTATCCTACCCTTATACTAATATTTTCATAAAGTGCATGGACATCTTGTAGCAATTTTTGTGCACCGTGCACAAAAAACACCATCTTGCACAATTTGCCATTAGTATTCTCTCTATTTTATGAAGTGCGTGTACAAGATAAAAAGATTTTTTTGTCGCTTTCTGCACCGTGCACAAAAAATCCCCTTTTTGCATCGTATGTTGCAATAAGTGTGGGAAAGGATTCAAAATGATCTGTGCGAGAGAGACAAACTGTCCCTGCACTTTATGAAAACGCTATCAGTGTGTCGGAAAAATAATGAGCACACTGTCTATGTGCCAATCGCGTCGCTGAAGTTTTTGATATTCTCCGCGACACAATTCATTTTCTCGGCGGCAATGCGATTTTCGATACGGAAGAGTGCTCATTATTTTCCCGACAGACTGATAATAAAAAAATTTTCGGCACATGGCTCCGTTTTCAGCGATCATTTCCCGCATGCTTTAATGTCATTATTACAACTTCAAATTTATTTTCATTAAACTATCAATTACCGTATTCTAGGTGCTTTCATCATCTTTTTGCAACGTTGAAATATCCCCGCTTCCTTTCCCGTTGAAGCTCCACTTTTTTCATACCATTTCTGCTGATTTTTACACCCTTGCGTGGATAATGAAATCACTCAAGACTTTTGTAATTCGTGCTTCCCGCGAAGGTATATGCTGAGGCGGAAAAACACTGACCATTCACACACAGCCCGCCATCAAATTGTAATCAATTTTCGTTCCCGAAAACATTGTGGGCCTTCTTGTTGTTTGGGTGTCTTAAGAAGAATTCAATCGATATTTCGCTTGAATTCGTGATTATTTTTTGTACTAGAGATGTTGTTGCGCTAATTGAGCTGTAGAATAGTTGTATATATACATAGTTTGGAGGCTACTGGATGGTCTAGCAAACCAAATATGGTTTTTTTGTTAGCTATTAGGGTGACCGATTACAATGCGACCGGATTCATCGGCCCGTAGAATTGTAACGGAGAAAGTTTCAAACTAGAATTTTTGAAAGAGCTGTGAAATTTTTTCAAATGTTTTGAGTAGACGATGACCAGGGCTTTCTATCAGTCTGTCGGGAAAATAATGAGCACGATGTCGCTGTGCCGATCGCGTCGCTGAAGCGAAAAGAAATTTGATTTTCTCCGCGACACAATTCATTTTTTTTGGCGGCGATGTGACTTTCTATGCGACTGAATGCTCATTATTTTCCCGACAGACTGATAAATGCTTTCCAAGTGGCGTTCTCAGATTGTTGATGAAATTTGTCACAAATTCAAAATAACTTTTTTTAAGACAGATGCAAGACCATTATCACGCTCTTTGCAGAAACGACAGAGATTTTTTTTGTTGAAAATTTAGAAAAAATGATAAATAATTTTTTGCAAATTTTGGCATGAAAAGTTTTGCGCCCATTTCTATCCTAGAAGATAATGTTTCCACAAAAAATATTTTTTTTCCTCGCAGAACTGGGTCTTTTTGAGCCGTACAAATTTCTTCGGGCTGTTGCTCGCGCTTTAACCTTTTTTTGCACCGAGCCAACGCCAAATATCAGTCCGGCGACTTTTGGGACGGCCTACCAGTCTGTCGGGAAACTAATGAGCATTCTGACGCATCGAAAATCGCACGGCCACCGAGAAAATAAACTATGTCGCAGCAAAATCAACTTGCTTTTCACTTCAGCGACATGATCGGCGCAGCGACATTGTGCTCATTATTTTCCCGACAGACTGATAGTTCTTTCTTTTTGAGTTCTAAAATCTTCATTATAGAAAAAATTTGCTATAAAGAGACTTGTTGTTGTAGCTAACACCACAATTACAACCTACACTTTGCCTTCCCGCCGTACTTTGTCACCTTCGGCGTTCCTCGTGTTCTCGTCGTCATATATTTGTCAAATACCTCCCACAGCAAAGATCCGCCTGTTGACTGACAGTTCTCTCGATTTGATTAAATAAAGTTCTTGTGTTGTGTGACTTATTGTGAAGCGTTGGGGCTTTTTACGTCCCGCTTGCGCCGTTTAAGCCGTTCTATTGCCTTGCGTGCCAAGTTTTTTTCGATTCGTTTATTTTGGATGACCAAGTTTTAATTTGCAGAAAAGATGTCAAAGGAAGTGAAAAGCCAGGACTACTGCTGTTGTGGCCTCTTCCACAAGCACGTAAGTTAAATATTCATCTAAAAGATTCCATATATTAACATCTTTCGCCTTCAAAAATGAGATTTTTTCATCTTGCCATATTAATGTCTAGTATAATATAAATATTGTCGGTTGCCGGGCAAATCTCAAATTTTTCCACATTTCAGAGCCTCGCATTTGTCGCTGGCACCTTCCTCTCCATCGCCTATGCAGCCGCCTTGGCGCGCCGAATCTACACCACGTCCAGCGCGCCCGGAAACATGGACGCCATTATTATCGCGGCCGCCGCCATTGGGTTCCTCGTCCATTTGATGTTGGTCATCGGGAACCGACAGCACAACAAGTGTCTGTACATCCCTGCTATGATATTTAATGTAAGCTTATCGCTCTAAGGTCTCAAAAAGATCATCAAAACATCCAAAACCAGCTGTTTGACCCTGCTTTAACTCGAAAGCCGCGGGAAAAATCCCATTTTTCCTTTCTAAAAAGCTTATGGGTTATATTATGCTTGGCGGTTGGATCAAGAACCGAATAGGAAGACTACAAAAATCGATGGGGCGAATAAAAAGACGTTCCGTTTGACGGAAAAACAACGCCCGAAGAGCCGGTCTCTTCGCCCCCCTCTCGCACTCGGTCCGTTTTGCGAGAGAGCCGAGCGTGGCGAAGTGGCCGAGTGGTCTAAGGCGCTGGTTTTAGGCACCAGTCTCTCCGGGGGCGTGGGTTCGAATCCCACCTTCGTCAAAATCGTTTTGCACTTGTTTCTTATGGTTTTTAGTATTGAAATAGCACAGTAAATTACTATTAGTTTTAGATTTGTTGCAAAATGCAACGAATACATTTATTTTTCCACATTTTCGCCGTAAATTTGCATTAATTTTGAGTTTTTTCATTCAAAAAATCTCATTTTAGGTCATTTGGTGCATCGACCAAACCCGCGCCGCTTTCTTCCACTTGAACTTTGTCGCTGGTGTGTTGCAGAATGCCGAAGCCTACCACAAGGCGGCTGGCATTCCACACACCTTCGAGAAGTTCATTTCGTTGGTGATTTTGGACCTCTTCTTCACCGTCGGCGGAGTTTTGGTCGCTTTCGGATTCTTGGCCATCGTCGTCTGCGGCTACTGCTATTTGCGCCGCGAGCAGAAGGCGGCCAAGATTGTGCAGGTGGAGAACCCCGTCTACGCGAATGGACCGTTGCCCGAGAAGGCGCCGATCACCGACTACATCTAAACTGTTAGAAAAGGAGCGCAGTTCTAATGTTCATATAATTTTATCATTTCAGTGTGATTTTTTAGTGTTTTCCTCAAATAAAGTGTAATTTTACAGAATGATAGGGATTTATTTTTCAGTAATCAAAATGAATGGGAAGTTGCTTGGATGCAACGCTCAGATCTTCTGCAAAATCTTTGCTACAAATACATAAAATCTAACAGGTAATTATCACCAAGTGCGACGCCCAGACATTCCATATATCTGGCACTCACTTTGGGCATAGACCATATATCAATTTAAGAAAAGTTTAGCTCACGCTTTGCAGGAAGAGCCGAGCTACTCAATGGTCTTTGCGGCCAAGAGAGTGTGGGAAAAACGGAGAACGGTCATAGAGAAAAAACATTTTTTTGGCCATGTCTGCCAGTTCTGCGCGGAAAAAATGATTTTTATGTGGAAACATTACTCTCCACGTCCCAAAATCTCCAAAAAATCACATTTCTGCCAGCTTTCGACCAAAAAATCTCGGCCGTTTCAATAAAGCAAAAAAAGTGAAGCGCAAGCCAAATGTCTTTAATTTAGAAAAAAAAATATAAAAATCTGAGCGTTACACTTGGGATACTTTCCTTGTAAATCAATTTTCGAAACCTTTAGCTCACGCATTTCAGGATATTCAACTTCGAAGCCAAGATTCTATGAAAAAAAGTGTCAAAAAAAATTATTCTGTACAAAAACAATCATAAAATTCGGATTGAAAAATGGGATTGTTTACGCATATCAGCACAGACAAATGATCATCGCCTTAGCATCTTTGATAAGCAAAATGCCATTTTAAAAATTTATCAACACATCTTTTCTGTCGTTCAAGCTAAACATGCATTTTACAATCATACAATCAATTTTTTTGACCTCTCCAGAATTTAGGAACTCGTCACTTTTCAAATAAACGCGGCTAGCCTCAGTTTATCACCCTCCTGCCTTAGGCGATTTCCTCACATGGCTTTGCTAAAAAAGCAAACATAGCTGGGACCAGAGAAGTCAACGCTATATTACAATAAAGCCTGATAATTTTCTTTGGCGCGTTTTGGCGTGCCGCTGCAAAAATGATGCAAAAAAGCGCATTGCACAGTGAATTTGACCAAAAATACTTTTGCACCGTGCATTTTTGCTTTTTGCCTTACGTCGCGAGCGATTACCATTTTTCGCAGCGACAACTCATTTTTTTTAAATGCGACAGAATTCGGGGCCGCGACAAATTTTCAGGACTTTCTGGGGTAGCCTCGTTTTATTGAAGACTGTTCGCAGCTCTCGCAACAAAACCAATAACTTTTTAAAATCCTGACCCTTCAAAACTGCAACTTAAATTTTGCTAGTGTCCCGCCTTGATTTCACGCCTTCTCCCGGCAGCCAAACGAAAAGTTTGGACCGCGCCAGTCGCTCCCATCAAGCCTCTCTTGTTCAGGCCAGAGAAGCGAGAGACAGACGGACCTTTCCGCCGCTGTGTCCCATCTGGCCCTGCGTCCGTCCTCCTTTGTGGCCGGGGGGTTGGTCTAGCCGCGGCGAGTGCGCTTCCCCAACTCCTTCCGTCTGCCCCCCGCCCTTGGAGAGAGACCGAAACGATTTTCTCCCGTTGCACAGCGTTGGGCTCGCGGTTTTAGCGAGCGGCACAAGGGCAGGCGGCGAAAGAATGGAGGGGCCCATTAGGGACGGTGTGGACTGGTGGGCGAGATAGCGGCGGCGGTGGGGAAGCGCCAGAGAGCGTTCAGTCCGTGGCTGCCCTCGCTTCGCAAAGGCAGCCCGTGGACTGACTGACTGGATGTGGAAACGGACGCGGGGTTTAGTCACTTTTGTGGACTGAAATTCGACTAATAATAGGGTTGGAGGTGGGCTTAACAGACCTCAAATGATTAGGCCAGAAATTGATGTCTTCAGCTTAGTTGTAAAAATTTGTCATCATGACATATTTTATTAAAAATTTTTGCGTGAAATAGTTTCCAAATGAGCTTAACACTTTTGCGCGCTAATATTCATCTAGTAATATTATAGGGAAGACTTTGGGCTATCATGCCGAAATTTTTACGGCAAGAGCTTGATGACTTTAACTTTAAGTCATAGGAGTAAATTTGGCATCATGATTCATTTTTGAGAAGATTCAGCCAGCCCATTAATGCCAATGGGCTGAATTTTCGATTTGCGCCAAGTTTCATAGACTTTCAAGGGTCATACTTTGAGCATTTCCCCTATAAAAAACTTGTTCGTTATAGAAGAGACTCGTTGTATGGAGGTCCATTTTAGTCCAAGAAGTCTTCTTTAGACTAAAATGGACCTCCACAAAACAACTCGCTTCTATAACGAACAAACTTTTTGATTTGCTGCAATTCCTTTTGTCGACTTTTGATTTTAGCCAAATTTCCCCTTCCTAACGTCTATTTTCAAATAAACTGTAGCCGACTGCGGACTACAGCCGTCGGAGAGACGCCAGTCGTCGAGCGGATAGACCGGACGGGCGCCGAAACAATCTCCTCGCCCCATGCGGACGCCCCCCGCCTTTTTCCCGCTGAGGGCCCGCAGAAAACGAGCCGCACTAGGCTCGCTTGGATTTGCTGCTGCGTCCCCCCGCTTGGTGGAGGACAGAAAAGTGGGGGGAGAAGGGGGAAGGTCTTTTCGGGTGCGTCCCCCCCCCCTCGCCCGGTTCGCCCCCAGCTCTTTTAGTCCAACCGTGAAGTTCGTGCCGCCCGCTCTTCAGCGCCGGCGCGTCTCCCTGGACGTCCCCGAGCCCAACCGAATATTATTCATCCCGCCGCTGCCTTAGCCCCCAGTCCCCGCACAGCCTCGTGACGGAAATTGCTAGACCGGTTTTTCCCTTTTTCGTCGAGTTCTTGGATTTTCGTTATACTTTACACTTGCCAAAGAATGGCATCCTTAAGGCTTTGTCAAATTTTTAGTCTGGGCGCGGTAAATCATTTTCTTGCTCTTTTAGCCTCATTTTTAAGTCAACTTTACTATTAGATTTTAAGACTAATGGTATTATGCTAGTCATAAAATGGCTGATTCATATGTGGTCGGCTTCTAAATATGTAGCCAGATTGCTAAAAAAATATCCTCATTACCACGTTCGCCCAATCCAGGGCTCTATTTTTCCTTCGGAATTCACTTTTGAACGTTTCTAGTGTATTACACTAGGCAATAATTGCTGTATTTTCCAATCACACCTAATTCTTTTAGCCTAGACTTTCCTAGCCACTACGCTATACCCTCTAAACAATTTTAACCACATTTTGCGCCAAAGAAATCCCATTATTACCACTAAAACGGCTATAATATTATCTTTGCCCATCAACCCGCGAATAGCCAATTCCACCCAATTTATCGGCATTCCGCGTCATTCTAACTAAATTTAGCCAATTTTCAGTCGGCTCATAAAAAATTATGGAGGAGCAGGACTTTCTGGTTCGGTTGGTCAAACGAATCGAAGAAGAGCCGTCCCTATACAAGCTCGAGGATCACAATTATAGCAACGACAACGTCAGACATCAAGCCTTTCTGCGCATCAAGGACAAATTGATCGACGACGGAGCCACCGAGGATCAAGGTAACGATTTGATTTTTTCGTAAGGATTAGTAGATGGGATAGGAGAAAATAGCCAATTTTGGCTGCAGGGAAACTGGACGGGGAGAGCACGTCGAATAGAGAAGGGAACCTTTCAACTTGGCTTGTCGTCCCAAGTTTTAGCGGAAAAATTATTTTGAAAATTTTCCTCCAGGTTTTGCCGTTCAAATTATTCTCCAAAAATTCAAATAGATCGAAAATAATCAGCATTGTCAAAAACCACCGCACGGCAAACCGAAATAGAACAAAAATGTCTCCCGCCCACTTTTGAGTTTCGTCCAAACGAAGTGTCACAACTGACAAAAGCAATAAAATAAATAATTTCGAGAAAAATATTTTTTCCATCGAAAACCACACGAAAAGTTCTGTTGTGAAATTTCGTGTGAATTTGACCGGTACTGGGTGTGCGAAGTGCCGAAACGAGGAAGAAGACTCCCTGGGTTGCCGTGCACCGGGTTTTTGCCAAATCAGTCACTAAATCGGTCAAAAAAGATTTCTCGGACCCCTACTTGAGCTGGATAGAAATTGAGCGCCGGGAAATTGGCTTTTTTCCCGATTCCCCAGCGCCCAATTTCCATGCAGCCCAAGCAGACGTCCGAGAAATCTTTTCTGACCGAGCTATCGACCAATTTGGCCAATTTCCCGGTGCCGCATTTCCATGCAACCCATGTTTGTGATGAAAGACCAACTTGAAGAGTTCCCTCTTTCTTTTTTCCATTTGACGTGGACGGCCCTCCGGAGGGGAAATTGGACGGTTTTTTAGTGATCTTTTGTTTCCCTATTCGGTCCGAGGCATGTGCGACCTTTTATTTCCCTCGCCATTTTCTAAAAAATCCGTCCAATTTCCCCAGTTCTCTTCCGTCCAACTTCCGCTTCTCCGGTTCCCTTCCCTCCAGTTTGTCTACAACCTATTTCACGCATTGATAAACGGTTGTATTGGACGTAAAATTTCGTGTAAATTGTATTTTTCACAAAAATACAAGGATTTTTTTCACGTTTACTTTGATTTTCGTGAATTTAAAAAGTTTTGGGTATCGAAAGTACGATTTTTGGCCAAATTTCTTTTTGATTTGCATGGTTACCCCTATTTTTGCAACATAACAGCCATTCGCCATCATTTCCAACCTAAATTCATCAATAAAAACCTAATTTTCCTTATTTTAGCCTCTGTTGTGACGATCCGCGACAAGTTCCGAATCTTGAAGCGTCGATTCAGTTCCGAGCATCGGCGGAAGGGTGCCAAGAGTCAGTGGCCCTTCTATCAGCACCTAACTTTTTTGATTCCGTGTGTGGAGCACTCCTATGAGCAGGAAGCCATGAGGAATGCTGAAAAACGGAAGGTAAGGATGATGTAATCGACAAAAATTGCTCTTCTCTGATCAAATCAGAACTCTTGTTGCATTTACAAGGTGAAATACGGTATTTTATAATCCATTTGAGCAAAATTTCCAAAAAAATTACGTTTCGTCAAATTCTTATTTTTTTGCGATTTGTCATGGCTGTATGTAGATTGGGCTCGGTGAAATTGTGCGCGTTATGTAAATTGGGCTGAGGGAAAAAGTTTTATCTTGTTTTAGGACTCGAACGGCGTTGAAGGGGACGTTGATGGAGTTGACGTCGGGTACGACGCAAATGAGACATGGGACGAGCCGGTGCGCTACCTCTCCGAAAGGGGGAATGAAAAGTTGTTCCATCATGGCTACTTGTACGTTAGAGACGTAGGCTGCAAGGACAGCTGGCGCTGCGCCAACAAGACTTTACGTTGTCCCGGCAGAGTGCGCTTCACTGCAAGGGGTGTGACGGAAACACCCCATAGACCGGACGAAGTAAGCAGTAGTATTGATAGTTGGCTTATTGAATATAGTGCGGTACAGGAATCAGTGTTCAAATGCAGGTACCATTGCGTCCAGGAAGCATTCCGAATACCGCTAAATACCTCTCCTCTATTTTCTTTCCAAAACTTTGACCCGGCTCCTGAAGATTATTACCTCTCAGAGGGCAGGAAGGAGCCGCGCCAGCCACGCTGAATTTTAGACGATTCGGAGTGCTTCCTGAACGCAATGCGATGAGCTTTTGCCCACTGAGGCCTGTCCCTCACTGTGTCACAACCGAATATTTTTAAGCTCCCGGACATTGGCCGAGCTATAACCGAAATCAAGTATCGCGAATACCTCGAACTGGCCTCTCAGAGCCGCGAACCCCACAAAGACTTGTACCTCAAGTTCGTCGCCAAGCTCGATCCCGCAACCCGGCGTACATTCCCGTCCTTGGAGAAGAGCCGAACTACAGTCCACAAGATGAGAAATCGGTTAAACAAAGGCATTCGTCCCCGATCATTTGAAGCGGAAACTCTTCAGTCATCGTCGGGAAATGCCTCAAAGTCGGTTGTTGAAGACGGCGGTGCAGAAGACTCGAATCGTTTTGTAATGTTTGAAAAATTTTCAGCAAATCTGTATTCAGTAAAGCAACAGCAAAAAGAGCTTTGATAAGGGGTAAAAAAGTACTGTCGCAAATTTTTCCTCACTGTCAGCCCAATTTACATACTGCGCCAATTTCCTTTCAGCCCAATTTCACACACAATCTGCCCAATTTCCATACAGCCATTTTTTGCAAAAATTTTCTAATTTTCTCAGCAAAATTGAAATTTTTTGCCTTGTTCATATCAGTAAACAGGCCTGATGGAGTCCGCCCAGTGCACAAAGAACAAGTTTGTGTATACGGCGAGTGTGGCCTAGCTACCAGGTTGCCAAGCGACCGTCCCAAATTTTCGGTCCGGCCTGATTTATGACTCGAAAAGTGCTAGTTATTTCCGAATTTTGTGGTTCTCCATAAATCCTAAGAGTAGTACGTTCGTTTCCACAACTTTTTGCCGAAATCCTAGCCGTTTTGGAGCACTAAATTGAAGTTTATATCGCTTTAGGCAAGTGTAATATAAATTGATGTGAAGCGTTTATGTTGTAAATTACGTTACAAATTTTTTAGTGGTCTATGGCCTCGTCGACGCCCAGAGGATCTCCTGAGGACAATGACGGCGAAGGGTCGGTCGTATCCGTCAAGGAAACCCTGGAACAATCGTTGAATTTGCCCAGATCTGTGACCAGACGTGGAGTCAACCCGTTCAACAAGGACGAAGAGAAGGTTTTGTTCAACGCGGACTTGCAGACATGGCTGAGAACGCATACGTGTTGTGGAGTGAAGACCAAGCCAGTTTATGACCAAATAATTGAAGCCATTCAGATGAAGGTAGGGCAATATCAAAAGTCTTCAAAAAAATAGATTTTTGTTTGACATTGACATTATAGTTACGATTTCCAAGTGTAATAAAGCGTGAGCTTTATTAGTCACGCGATTAAGCAACTGTATTCCTCGTTTAACCCCTTCAAATCATCAAGAAATTACCTTATCCATCAAATTTCAGGAGCAAGGAATAGTTTTCCCCGCTCACCTCGAAAGAGATTACGTAATATACGCCGAGAAGTACGAATTGGTCAAGGACGAAGTGGAAAACTATGTAGTGTACAGAAAAGGCAAGAAAGTGGTTCATGAAGCGGAGCTTTTCGACATTCTCTATGATCTCCATCAGAAGACGGCCCATTCCAGAAGAGATGTCATGTTCAAAAAGTTGAATGAGAAATACGACGGAATCAGCAAGTAAGTCGCTAAAATGATTTGTGTAGAGTATAGTATAGTGTTTTCTGGAATGATTCGGGCTTTGGTATTACTGTAACTTCGGATTTTTCGGAAAATCATCAAATTTTGAATTTTCGATATTTCGGCGGAAAAATTTTTTTGAAATTCTACTGGTTTTTGTTATCTGGCGATGTAAAAATACATCTAGTTTGTTGCTAAAATTGTTTTGAGTCATCAAAATTTTTTTGGATACTGTATTTTTCCCAAATTCCCAAATCTTCCGGATTTTTCGGTATTTTTTTTTATTTTGTCACCGAACTTATGAAAATTCGATGTGAAAATTGTAGAATATTATATGTAGAGCATTTTTACATCATCACAAAAATTTGGGTTACTGTAATTTTCCAGAAATTTTTTTATACTTTCGAAATTTTCCGATTTCGATCCCTTAAATTAATTTCCTTCCAGAAATCTGGTCATTATGTTCCTGAAAACATGCCGTTATTGCGAACTGAATGGCATCGGGATCCCACGAGAGCGGTCCAGCACCCAGTCCAAACGCAACGGCTCCAGCTCGCCGCAAAACAACTTCCTGATGGAGATAATGCGCGGCGCCGACGAGAACCAGCTGGGCGAGGGCGCAGATGAGGACGAAGATTACGGGCCCTCCACCAACAGTAATCCCTTGTCCATGTTCCTGAAGGCGTGCGACCAGAATCTGATGAGTTATTGCGACTCCCCCAAGACCGATTCTAATGTGAGCATGGACGAAAAAAACGACTTCGGTGAAGTCATGGCGCTTGCCGCATACCAGTTGAGACGTAAGTTGGATTTTTGGGGGCTTTGGGAATAATTAGAGAGATTTTTGGGTAGATTTAGCCTGTTTTGGTGATTTTAGGGCGGATTTTATATTACTTTAGCCAATTTTTAAAGTTTTTTTGATTTTTCTCGTCTAAAATTAGATTTTTTGACTAATGGCTAGTCTAGAGAGAAATTATGAGCCACAGAAAACCTGTGCGAGCTTTATTTGACTTAATTTTGCCGTATTTTTTAGAGTTTTATTCAATTTTTACCTTATTTTAGGTGTCTTGTTCGATTTTTGTTTTTCTTTCCTCTAAAACAAGGTTGTTTTGAGATTATAGAGGTCTAAAATAAAAGTACATGTAATTTGAGACTTTCAGTTAAAAAAATTAAATAAAATTTCACCTGCCTTTACCCATTTTTGACCAAATTTCACCTTATTTTAGTCATATTCCCGCATTTTTCAACCATTTCCCTCTAAAATAAGCCCATTTCAGAGACATATCTCCTTCTACGGGTAGTCAACGATCCATCGCATTTGGTCGTGTGCAAAGTCAATGATGAAGACTATTTCCCCTCAGGCAAGGTTGATCATACGGTCGCGGATCGGGCCAACTGGTCTCCAGGACAAATCGTGAGAGCGTAGTGAGTTGAAACCACTTCTTAACGGAGTTTTTGTAACAAAAAAGATCAAAGTTTTCACTTTTTGAAAAAAAAAAAAATTAAAAAAACTTGTCAAAAGGCGGTTTTTGACGTTTTCCCAACAAAAAGCGCCTCTCTCTTGAAAGAAAATAAAAAAGCAAAGGGTGTGCCCGGTTAGCTCAGTCGGTAGAGCACCAGACTCTTAATCTGGCTGTCGCGGGTTCGAGCCCCGCATCGGGCTAAGGCCATTTTTGGTGGGGGTTTGAGATTTTTTGAAGGGGAATGGCTGTAAATTATTTTTTAAGAGTTGTAAAGACGTTTAGAGGTTGTAATTTTTATGTTGAAAGCGGAAATTTAATTTTTTTGGCAGAATTTTGGTTTATTAAGAGATTTTTAAACGTTTTTACGGATTTTGAAGGGGTTTGGAAATGAAAATTGATCCGGAGGCGTTTTGTAAATTATTTTTTATGTGGTTTAAAACGGTTTTTAATTTTTCGATTTGATTTTTTCGACGAAAAAATTTACAATTTTGAAAAAATTTGAGATTTTTCATCATTTTTTGGGGTTTTACTTAAATTTTTGGTAATAAATTAAAACAAAGCCTCTAACATCAAAATAAATCCTTTAAAATATCTTCTCTTTCAGTTTCGGCTTCGAGCAGCGCCCTAAAGACTGTGTTGTGGAGTCGGTTGGGGCTTCGGAAGCGGTCCAAGACGAGTTTTTCAAAGCCAAACTAAAGCTCACCAATCAGCCGCAAAACCCACAACGTTCCCAGGAAAATGGCGCACCAGAGCCGAAGAAAGCGCGGACGGAGCCGGCGGTGACAGCGCGGAACGGCTCGCTTCAGTCGAGCGATATGAGGAACATCCAAAATCGCTTCGAAGAGATGGAGGAAAGGCTGCGATTTCTCGAACAACAGGTCTTCACCAACACCTCAATCCCCAAGCTAGACTTTATGGGCACGGGCGCGTAATTTTGAGCCATATTTTTTGTTTTAAAATTAGATTTTTTTGAATTTTTTTGATAAAAATTGTTATTTCACTTGAAAGCAGGTGAGAACTGATGTGTGGACCACATCAGAGTGTTGTTGGATGTTGTATGCATTTTTTGTGAAAATAATAAATGATTTGGATATTGGAATTGAAAGTGAGGCGGGATTTTTTGAATATTTTGGGTCTCGCAACGAAAATTTTGAAATTTTGTAAAGTGAAAGTAAACATTAAATTTCTAATGGTTTTTTTTAAATACGGCAGGGGGATGTTTCACGTACAAAAGGGCACTAACTTGAGTTAGCGGCATCACGCAAAAAGAGGAGAGAGCAGAGAAAAAGAGGAGTGGTAACTTGAGTGATCCCTCTTCTTTTTGATTGGCGAATCGGGCGACTTTTTATGGACTTGGCCGGACATTTTAGGCCATAACTTTTGATACAGTGGACCAATTTACGCCCTTCCAAAAAAATATTAATGCTGGCGGTACACAGAATATACACATATAAATTTGTAAAATTTCCTTTTAAATTATGCAAATCATATGCAAATTTTTCTCTTGGTATTTAAGAAGCAAGATACGGAAAAAATTTTGATACCGTCATATGCAGCGTGGTCCCAGCTTTAAAATTTTGTTAAAAATTTGCAAATTGGTTTACTGTGACAAAAGTTATGACCAAAAGATTCTCGCCCACTGTTGCGCGGGCCATTACTCCTGATACAGTATACCAATTTACACCCTTCGAAAAACCCTTTGATGCTGAGAGCGTAACAAACATGTCCATATAAAGATTTTAATAAAAGACGAGCATTAAGATACCAAGAAAAAAAAATGCATATAATTTGCATAATTTAGAAGAAAAAATTACAAATTTATATCCATCTATTCTGTGTACCACCAGCATTAATATTTTTTGGAAGGACGCAAATTGGTCCACTGTATCAAAAGTTATGGCCCAAAATGTGCGGCCAAAGTCGATAAAAAGTCAGGTCACTCGAGTTACCACTCCTCTTTTTCTCTGCTCTGTCCGCTTTTTCTGTGATGCCGCTAACTCGAGTTAGTGCCTTTTTGTACGTGAAACATCCCCCAGACTCTCCTGGTCTTTCTCGAAAACCAGTAAAATTTGCTTATTTTTGAATAAATTTTGTATTTTTTGAATATTTTGGGTCTTGAAGCGAAAATTTTGAAATTTTATAAGGTGAAAATAAACACTCAATTCCTAATGGTTTTTAAAATACGGCTTACTCTCCTGGTCTTTTTTGAAAAACAGTAAAATTTGCGTATTTTCTGAATAAATTTTGTATTTTTTTGAATATTTTGGGTCTCGCAGCGAAAATTTTGAAATTTTATAAAGTGAAAGTAAACACACAATTTCTAGTAATTTTTTAAATACGGCAGACTCTTCCAGTCTTTTTCGAAAAACAGTAAAATTTGCATATTTTCGAATAAATTTTGTATTTTTTGAATATTTTGGGCCTTGAAGCGAAAATCTTGAAGTTTTATAAATTGAAAGTAAACACACAATTTCGAATGGTTTTTAAAATACGGCAGACTCTCCTGGTCTTTTTTGAAAAACAGTAAAATTTGCATATTTTTTGAATATTTTGGGTCTCGCAGCGAAAATTTTGAAATTTTACGAGTTGAAAGTCAAAGAAATTTTCGATTTTTGAAATTTCGGGTCCTGAAGCGAAAGTATGAGAATTTTTGGAGGTAAGGTAAAAACTCGGATTACGCTAATTTTAAAATACGCTATCTCGTATGTAGTTGCCCTTTCGAAATCATCAAAAATTTGCATATTTTTTAAATAAATTTTAGTGTTGTACCGCAACATTAGTAACTGAACGAACTTTTTAATTACGGAATAGGCAAACAAATTTGCATAGTTGTGCATAAATCCGAGATTTTTTGAAATTTTTTGGTCTCACCGCGAAAAATTGAGCCTCAAATAAAACAGAATATTTTTTGAAAAAATCCTTTTATAATGTCCCTTTTCCATTTTTAGCCTCAAAAAATTTGCATAAACCCGCCGGAAATTCTAATTTCCCGAAGCCCCGGGTCCCACCACGAAAACCTCCTTGCCCCAAAAAACTTTGTTGATCACACCTCAAAATGGTTGTTGATCCCCCCGTGGAACTCGGATATTGCGCGCGACGGACCGGATCGGATATAGAGACCCCCAAAGCGCCTCATTTTTGTGCTTAACCCAGGGGGTTTTTGCGCGGATGCGGTGGTCGGTCGGGGGCTAAAATACCGCTAAATAAACAACCGAACGATTCGGTTTTTAGCGCTTACGCTGCGGGGATTTGATTACAATTTGGGGGGTTAATTCGGAGGGAATTTGATTTTAAAATTTTTTGCAAATTTTTGAATTTTTTTTTAATTTTTAAATTAAAAAAAATTATGTTCGAAGCTATATATACATATATAATATTAATACTATGCCTTCTGGGAAGTCGCCGGACTGATTTTTGACGTTTGCACTGTGCAAGAAAAGTAGCGAGCGACAGCCCAAAAAAAGCCTATTGCACGGTGCAAAAAGCAAGAAATCGCACAGTGCAAACTGAACTTTGGTTTTTGCACAGTTCATGTCGCAGAAATCACTCCAGCGACTTTACGAACAGACTAGTACAGAGGTTTGTCTAAAATTCACTCGCTCTGAAAACATTATTCATATTAGCCGAGGTTCTCTCGTTGTACGCATGGTCTTCACTTACAATTGAAGCGTGAAAACATGGAACGTCGATGCTACGTGTGTTACCATAAAAATTTCTTGTTAGCCTCAAAATATAACCTTTTTATGACAAGGAAAACCGGAGTTAGATTTTGAAATTTTACTCACCCTTTGGACATATGCCATATATCAATGCCTGAAAGTTTTAGCACAATCTTTGCAGCCGAGTGAGTGCATGAGAGCGCCTTGAGAAAAGAATTCATGCCCATACCATTTTGGGAATGAAAAAATTGATTTTTTGTGTAAAAAGCTTTTTGTGTGCCGAGATTCGCCAAAAAATGTCGCATTTTTGATGACTTTTGATCTAAAAATCTCGGTCGTTCCTGAAAATCGAAAAAAGAGCTTTGGTATACTATACAGTATATACAATTTAGACTCTTTATTTCCATTCTTTCTCAGTCTGTCGGGAAAATAATGTGGATTTGTCTGGCCTTGGAATCGTCATCATCGCCTGCGCCGAGGCGAGAAATTTTGTTGCGACAAACCCACATTATTTTCCCGACAGACAAAAAACTTATACTTTGAGAAATTTGAATATCAGTCGGTTGGGAAAATAATGTGGGCCCTGAAATCGCCCATTGTCGCATTGCGACAGCTGGCCGCAGCTGGCGACTTGGACCAGAAAAGTCTAGAGATTTTGCTGCGACAAATCCACAGTACTTTCCCGATAGACTGACATTCAAATTTCTCAAAGTATAAGTTTGTCGGGAAAATAATGTGGGTTTGTCGGAACAAAATTTTTCGCAGGCGATGATGACGATTCCAAGGCCAGACAAATCCCCATTATTTTCCAGACAGACTGATCGTAGACGATTTGGATAATTGTTAAGCTGTCCCCAAATTTATACCATTCTGTCCCCAAATTTCCCCATTCTGTCCCCAACGACCTGTCCCCAAATAGGAGTTCGGAATCTGTCCCCAAAATATTCCGAATATGTCCCCAAACACAAAAATTAGTGTAGGGTCCATGTTTCGGGGTAGTAATAACACTTCGGGCTAAAAAATTTGAAAATTCAAATTGGTGATTACGTAATAAGCAAAAGTTCAAAACTTTTGGGTAAAAATCGGATATAGGGGTAATCGAGGATGCTGATTTTGAAAATGATATTCATTTTACATGATTTTAACTTTTTTCTTAAGTAGTAGTGTAAAGTAGTAACTTTTGAAAATTTTAGACGAGATGTCGATTTATAGGTAATCGACACCGCGGATTTCGAAAACAATACCAGTTTTTTATGATTGTAACTTTTTTCTTAAGTAGTAGTGTAAAGTAGTAATTTTTGAAAATTTTAGATGAGATGTCGAGTTATAGGTAATCGAGGATGCTGATTTTGAAAATGATATTCATTCTTCATGATTTTGACTTTTTTCTTAAGTAGTAGTGTAAAGTAGTCACTTTTGAAAATTTTAGACGAGATGTCGATTTATAGGTAATCGACACCGCGGATTTCAAAAACAGTACCAGTTTTTTTTATGATTGTAACTTTTTCCTTAAATAGTACTGTAAAGTATTAATTTTTGAGATTTTTTGAATTGGTAGGGTTTATGGGTGCTGATTCCAGAATAAGATTCCTGATGAGTTGTGCATTAAAGTTGTGATTTCTTTGTTTTTATTTTATTTTTTTGATGAATCGTTAGCTAAGTACAAGGTATGTGTTATTGTTGATTCAAAAACTGTGTTCATCTTCTGTAGTTTTTATTCACTTCCAATCTGTTGGCAGAAGAATTTTTGCTCAGAATTTTCTGTCAAACCTGGCATAGCGGCAGGCTATCCCAAGCCAAACAATTTTATAGCAGAAAAATTTCTGTCAAACCCCGCCCATTTTGGCGCGCTCGATGAAGAGCAGAAGCAATACCGTTGATGACTCGAAGTAATAATCGCATGAAAAACAATCCTGTTGGATAATAACACGATGTTGCTCAAAGAACTTAAATTAGCAAAAAAACTTTTTGAAATTTAAAAATACTTCTCTTTAGACAACATAGTTATATTTTAAAAATTTTTTGTCATAAAAAGAAAAAAAAAACAACCGTACTATTTTGTGACGTTGTCCGTACAAGAATAGGTTAAATTTACACAAGTTATTTGCTGTTTCAACGTTTTCTCTACCGATTTATTGCAATTAGGCAGATATTGTTTTAGGTGATATCACACGGACCTGAAGGAGTTGAAAATATTTGTAAAATATTTATTTTAATTTTTATTGTGTTTTTTTTTTTTTTTTTAATGCTAAACTATTATCATTATCCAAAAG